TGTGTGTGTGTGTGTGTGTGTGCGCGCGCATGCGCGCTGAGGCTTGAACACTGGGATGAGGTGCTGTCCTTGAGTTTTTCTGCTCAAAATTGAAGCCACAGCTTCACTTCCAGCTTTTTGGTAGTTAAGGTTAGGAGTCTCACAGACTTTCCTGCCTGAGCTAACTTTGAACCATGATCTTTGGATCTCAGTCTCCTGAGTAGCTACAATTACAAGTCAGAGCCACCAGTACTGGACCCCAATTTCTTTTATCCTGCATCTGCCCATCTCAGAAAAAAGTCATGCCTACAGAATTCCTCAGAGGAGAACAGAGCTGGGGTGGGAGTATTGGAGTTCCCTGGGCCACAAACTTGTCAAATTCCATCTGTCCGACTCCTATGCCACCTTCTAATTAGAACAGGGAAGGGAAATGGGGGGGGGGGATTTATTGGAATTCCTAAATTTTGAACATTCTTTTTTTTTCTTTAAAATTATCTTAAGAAAACTCTAATGCTTCTAAATTTACTAATAAACTACTTCTATACTAAATAGTTTTGCCCTCTGCTTCAGACTGGTATTTCTTCCAGTTATTTAGCAATGAAAGACATAGTATTAAGTTTAATTTAAAAATACCTAAGTTTGGGGCTGGGAAGGTGGCTCAAGGGTACAGTGCTTGCCTTGCATGTATGAGGCCCTGTGTTTGATTCATCAGTACCACATAAGAATAAAAAGCCGCTGTGGCTCAAGTGGTAGAGTGATAGCCTTGAGCTGAAGAACTGAGGGACAGCACCCAGGCCCAGAGTTCAGGCCCCAGGACCGGCAAAAAAAAAAAAGAAAAAAGAAAGAAAGAAAAAAAGAAAAGAAAAAAATTCAGTTAAAAAATACCTAAGTTCAAGGTTACCTATATTCTAAGTAGAATAGCCTACTATCTTTTTCAGTTTGCTAAAGCAAGTGATAAGGTGAATGACTTCAGTTTTTGTTAATTTATTGTTATTATTATCTTATTATTATTTATAAAGTCCTTAGAATACTTCAAAACTCAAATATGTAAAACTAGATGACAAATCAAATCTGCCCTGAGTTCACTGGCTACAAGCTCAGTGCTCACTGGCCTGAAGGAACCCTGACTTCCTGGGCACCCATGGGGGAGGAAGAGTGTGGTCCTCTGCCTCACACAGCATGTAACCATGCTGGTAAGGGCCACACCCTGTCAACTTCCAGGACAAGCCAGATACAAAAGCAGGCTCCATGGAGCCTTCACTACTGTAACAGAAAATTTGTTCTTCATTTGCTAAAACTGCCCCCCTCCCCCCAAAAAAGGAAGTGGACAAAAATGTCTTCCACAGGAGATAAACATGCTTCAAGATATTTACTAGCAAAGTTATGATGCTGAGGGCACATTACCTCACTCTCACACGTCCTGGTTAAAATCCCAATCTGGAAAACAAGGAGGAGAAATTATTAGAGCAGAATGTGTAAATTCAGACCCAAGGAGTTAAACCCATAACACTTCCTCTTCTCAGCCCACACTGGTTCAGATCACTGGAAATGCAGTTCTAGGACACCCAGTGCTGTCTTTGTCTATAAGATGCTGAACCTGTACCTAAGTAACTGCATTCACTAGTTCTGCCCTGAGGCAAAACCCAAAGGCCATTACCAAATGGGCCACCATTTTCACTGAAAGCCAACACAAAGTCTAGGAAGAGCAAGAGACAATCAGCCTTTAACCCAATCTTACCATCTCCACACTAATTACAAAGCAGGAGCTAGGAAAGTTGTAGACAGTTTTATAGAGACCATGACAATTAAACATTTTATACAGAAAACACAAACAACACACTGAGAGCTAAAAAGGAGAAGTACCACCTTCGATATAATATTAAAGCATTAATAAGCATTCATCTCAAATTTAAATGAATAAAAAAATGTTTTGTTTCATTTGGCAGTACTGGGGTTTGAATTCAGGGCAGGTGCTCTATCACTTGAGCCATGTCCACAGGCTTCAAAATTATGTAATTTTAAACAAATTATAGTATAGTTAGATTTTTTTCATTTTTTTATTTTTTGTGCCAGTCTGGGGCTTAACTTAAGACCTGGGCGCTGTCCCTGAGCTTCTCTTGATCAAGGCTAGCACCCTACCCCTTGAACCACAGCTCCATTTCTGAGTTGGTTGGTTTGTTTTTCTAGTATTGCCCAGGCTGGCTTCCTCAGATGTCAGCCTCCTGAGTAGCTAGTACCAGCATGAGCCATGGGTGCCTAGCTTAGATTTTTCTTTTTTAAATCTTTTCTGAATTAAGATTTGAGAAACAGTCATGATTACTATTTTCAGGATATTTTTCCAGGTGGAAGGGCAGGTGCTTGAGCACCATGACTTATAAAAACTACATTTCAATAGATTCTGCTAATCAGAGATGTCACCTAATACACAGTGTTCAAATACTCTAAATAATATGCTCAAGAGGATTATTCTGAAGAACAAACTATGTGTACTAATGAATATAATACTCACCTACTATTAAAGAGTTTATTAATTTTTTAAAAAATAGAAAAGCCATAATTTTCTACTCAATAAAGCAGGGATAGCATTTTCTTTCTCTCTCCCTCTCTCTCTCTGTCTCTCTCTTTCTGCCTCTCTCTCTCAAAAACTACTTATAATAACAAAGTAACCATTTAATTTCCCATATTCAATGATGGCCACATTGGCTTAAATAAACTTCGGACACTCATCTATTCTACCTCCTCTCTTGGACCCTTCCTCTTGAAGGAAAAGGTGTTAAATAGAAGGAAATATTTGATCATATAGATTTGTAACAATTTTTCTCATGTGCTACTAACAACAATAATTGATACAGCCCTTTTAACAGAATTGGGCAAAAAAGAGCAAGGAATTTGAAAACATTCATACCTTTGATCCAGTAACTCTAGCCCTAAGAAATATATCCCAAGGATATTACTAATACATAAAGAATCTTAAGGGCTAGTAATGTGGCTTTTAGTGGTGGAGTACTTGCCTAGCATGCATGAGGCTCTGGGTTCAATTCCTTTGTACCACATTTAAAAAAAAAGAATCTTAGGCATAAAAATAGATGTCATTTAAGATAGTAAAAAGTATAATTAATGTCCAATCATAGGTAAAATAACATATATCATATATGGAATATTATGAACTCAATAACTAACAACCATGTGAAATTTTGTAGGAAAAAAATGTTAACTAGTAGATCAGTTATTCAAGATAATGTCATTTTTTCCTCCTTTAACCATCTGCATTTTGTATTTATCTACAACATAGATGTTTTATACATATTTTGCATATGCTATAACATATCTATATCTTTTTTTGGGGGGGGTCCGGTCATGGGGCCTGAACTCTGGGCCTGGGCACTGTCCCTTAGCTCTTCAGCTCAAGGCTAGTGCTCTACCACTTGAGCCACAGCGCCACTTTTTGCTTATATGGTGCTGAGGAATCGAACCCAGGGCCTCAGGCATGCAAGCCAAGCACTCTACCACTGAGCCACCTTCCCAGCCCCAACATATCTATATCTTAACATACATATTTTAAAATTCTATTCAAGCTGTGTTTTTTAATCAAAGTAAAATATAATCATTTACGTTGTTGCATAATTTTCTTTTCTGAAATTGCAGTACTAGGGTTTTGGTTTTTGTTTTTGTCATGGGGGCTTGAACTCAGGGCCTGGGTGCTGTCCTTGTGCTTTTTTGCTCACAGCTAGTATTCTACCACTTTAACCCACAGCTCGACTTCCAGTTTTTAGGTGGTTAGTTAGAGATAAGACTCTCACGGACTTTCCTGCCCGGGCTGACTTTGAACCACTATCCTTAGATCTCAGCCTTCTAAGTAATTGAGCCATCAATGTCCTGCCAGTACTAGATATTTTAATGAAAATATAAACATTAAACAGATGCCAATGGCTCCTGTCTAAAATCCTAGCTACTCAGGAGGCTGAGATCTGAGGATCCAGGTTTGAAGTCAGTCAGGGCAGAAAAGTCCATGAGACTCTTTTATCTCCAACTAACCACCTGAAAACTGGAAGTCGAGCTGTGGTCTCAAGTGGTAGAGTGCCAGCTTAGAGCAAAAAAGCTAAGGGACAGCGCCCAGACTCTGAATTCAAGGGTCAGTACCAACACAAACAAACAATTAAATAAGAATATTTAACTTCTGAAATAGGCATAGAAATAATAAGTAGGCTTAGAAATAGTTAAGTTTTTATCTAATATTACTTTTTCCTGCCTTAAAATGCTTGAACCAAAATAATCTCCTTGTGGTTTGAAGGATGAATTTCCTTTGTTAGTCAATGAACTTTGAATTGGACAGATCTGCCCAAGAGAAATCGGACCAAGACCGTGGTGTGTACGCACACACACAGATACACACTTATCTCTCTGCGGTCTACCATGCACAGGGCACGGCTCCATTCAGGCCATGGTTAGCAGGAATCTGCCATGTGCAGGAAGGAGGACTGACTGCATGGTAACTTTTCTCACTGGAAATACTCTTAAGACAAGCCTTAGGCTACTGCTCATTTTAAACATTTTTTTTGGCAAGGGGGTGTTGAGGTTTGAATTTAGGCAAATGTTCTACTACTTGCACCATAGCTCCTATACCTTTGTACTTTAGGTTATTTTTCAGCTAGGTCTCTTGTTTTTTTGCCCTGCAGCTCTCAGACCTCAATCTTCCTACTTACACCTCCTATGTAGCTGGGATTCCACTAAATTTTACCCTGGGTGGCCGTGAACCACAACATTCCCAATTTCTGCCTTCTGCATAGCTGGCAGTACACATGAGCCACTGCAATAGCCTCCTGCTCATTTTAAAACCCATTTAAAAAATCTGTTGGAGAGAGGAATGGCGAGCAGATGTATTCACAGTATTCAATGTGCGTATGTGAAAACAGAACCAGGTAACTCGAGGGGTTGGGAGGGATGGGGAGCAGAAAGGGATAACACTGATCAAGGTGCACTGTACTCGTACACTGACAGCTGAACTGAAACACCTTTGTAAAACTATTTAATTAAAAAATAATTTACATTTTGGGCTCAATAGCTATGTGCATATGATCATATAAAATGATGCTTATCAAAATGTAGGGGTTTTTTATTGTACTGTTTATGGTTCTTTCCTTTTTTTCTTTTGGTTTATTCCCTTCGGTCCCTGTTTTTGATTTCTATACCTCTGTCCTGTACGTAAGTTTATCTGATATGGGGAGGCTGGAGGGGAAGCACAGAAACAGTGGGACAAAGGGTAAACCAATTCAGCAGTGAAACCCACTAGATACTTTGTTGGAAATGAGCTATCTAACTTGGGGGAGAGGTGGGGGGGGAGCCAGGAGAGGGAAAAACTGGGAGAAAATGGGGGGGGGTGACACTATCCAAAAGGAAATGTATTCATTACCTAAGTTATATAACTGTAACCAGTCTGTACATCACTTTTACAATAAAATTTTTAAAACTGAATAACTGATTTATGACCTGTGTGCATATATATTTTTTCCTGAACAATCTGAAAGTAAAGTTATAGGTGTTAAAATAACTCACCCTAAATGCTCACGTGTTTATCTCCAAGAAAAAAAAGGGAGGAATATTCTCTTCAATATAGTACCATAACCACTCCTAGGAAAATGAACCATCATCTGAGATCTGACAATGTTAAAACACAATGAGGCTGATACACATTTTGGAAATAAAAGCCAGCCTGGACATTTTACTACGAGGAACACTCTAATACAAGAAGGACCAGACCTGTTCCTCACTAGCATCAGTGAGCCACAAGGAGTCAGCAGAATAGATACACTTGAGCAAAGAGGTTTCAGTAAACATCAGCCTTTCTTTAGGCTTATCAAGAAACACTTGGAAAAATACCCCTAAAAATTTCTTTCAAGGGGCTGGGAAGGTAGCTCAGTGGTAGAGTGCTTGCCTTGAATGCATGAGGCCCTGGGTTGATTCCTTAGCACCACATAAGCAGAAAAAGCTGGAAGTGGTGCTGTGGCTCAAGTGGTAGGGTGCTGGCCTTGAGCTGAAGAGCTGAGGGACAGCGCCCAGGCCCAGAGTTCAGGCCCCATGACCAGCAAAAAAAAAAAAATTTCTTTCAAACTTTTCCCTAATTTCTTCCTTTCCAGATTTTCCTAATTTTTTTAGAGCAGGCAGAATACTATCATTAGAAAACTTTATTACAAAATAATAATAATTACAAAGTGCCAATAGAGATGTTTATTTTTTAATTAATTTTTTTTTATTTTTATTTTTTTGGTCGGTCGTAGGGCTTGAACTCTGGACCTGGGCGCTGTCCCTCAGCTCTTCAGCTCAAGGCGAACGCTCTACCACTTGAGCTACAGCGCCACTTCCAGTTTTCTGGTGGTTTATTGGAGATAGGAGTCTCACGGTCTTTCCTGCCCAGGCTGGCTTTGAACCGAGATCCTCAGATCTTAGCCTCCTGAGTAGCTAGGATTACAGGCGTGAGCCACCAGCGCCCGGCTTATTTTTTATTTTAATTTTCTTGTCAAAGTGATATAGAGGAGTTATAGTTACATAAGTAAGGTAGTGAGTATATTTCATGTCTAACTTATTACCCCCTCCCTCATTTTTCTCCTTCTTTCCCTCCCCTTTACAATTGCTCCCCCAAGTTGTACAGATCATTTTTCAACATATTGTCTTGTGAATATCACTCTTGCATTGGTTTCCCTGTTGTCCTTTATCTCACCATTTTGTTATTCCCCTTCCCTTCCCAATTCATTTAAACATATATACAATACCAGGGTACCAAAATCAAATACAGTGACAACAGGGGATAAACCATAGTGGGGAAAAAACACAAACAAAAAAAAGAAATCACCCAATGTTAAAAATACTGCTAAGCTGAGCACCAGTGGCTCATGCCTATATTCCCAGCTACTCAAGAGGCTAGATCTGAGGATCATGGTTCAAAACCAGCCTGAGCAGCAAAGCCTGTGAGATTCTTATCTCCAATTAACCACACACACAAAAAAATGTTGAAAGTAGAGCTATGGTTCTCCTAGGCCGAGTTCCAGCCCCCAGACTAGCACAAAAAGCAATAAAAATAAGGCAAGAAATTTCAACTTATAAGGTAGTTTGTCAATGTACTATCTTATAAAAGAACTAGCTGGTGGATTTCTATATGATATGTATATAATAGAACTTTATACTTTCTATATGATATGTAGGCTAAGAATGGGAGGACTGAAGTTTGAGGCCAGGCAGGGCAGAAAAGGTCATGAGACCCCCTTACTGAATGCCATGGCACATTCCTATCACCCTAAGCTAGAGGGGAGGTTACAATTGAGGGGAACACTTAAGACTTGACTTAATAAGCTAGACAAGGTGGTACACACTTGTTGTCCCAGCAATGACAAGAAGCCTAAAATAGGTTAAATGGTCCAGGTACAGGCCTGGGTGTGGGCCTAGGAAGAAAGCAAAAGACTACCTTAAAGGTAACCAGCAAAAACTAGAGCTGGAGGTGTGGCTCAGCAGTACACTACCCGCTTAGCAAGTGTGAGGTCAAGTTCAATCGTCAGTGCTTCCTCAAAAAAAAAAAAATCAAGCCGGGCGCTGGTGGCTCACGCCTGTAATCCTAGCTACTCAGGAGGCTGAGATCTGAGGATCGCGGTTCAAAGCCAGCCCGGGCAGGAAAGACCGTGAGACTCCTACTCCAATAAACCACCAGAAAACCGGAAGTGGTGCTGTAGCTCAATGGTAGAGCGCTCGCCTTGAGCTGAAGAGCTGAGGGACAGCGCCCAGGCCCGGAGTTCAAGCCCCACGACCGACAAAAAAAAAAAAAAAAATCAGTGGTAATTTCAATAAGAAGTTAGATATTTGGACCTTGGTTAGAAACATAACCAATGTTATAAGTTTTTTTCACGGAGAAAAAGAATCATCTTAAATTCAACTTTTTCTATCTTTTCCAGAAACACAGCCCTCACTATGGAGTCTCATCAAATCTCAGGGAGTTTAGTGGAGTTACTTTTGAATGGTATGCCCTACCTTTTCTTGGAATGCATGAGTCATTCTTGTTATAAACTGGCATGTAATTTAGATGATTGTTATCATCAGAATGTCTGTGTTTTCCCAAAATTCCTACATTGAAATCCTGAGCTCCAAGGGTAATACTATTAAGAGGAGAAACCCTCGCATGGTGATCTAATGGTTTCCTACAAAAGAGATCCAGAGAAGTATTCACCCTTTCTGCATGTGAGAACACAGTGTGAATGGCCATCAATGAGTCAGGAAACACACCCTCACTGGACTCCAAATGTGCAGGCACTTTGACCTGCACGTGCCAGCCTCCAGAACTGTGCAAAATAAATTTCTGCTGTTTTAAGGCACCCAGTTTGTTATACGAATTGGAAGGGACTAAGACAATGACTAATGCTGGACACTAGATTAGATCTTATCGATCAGCATTAAAGTAAGGAAACTGCCGGCAAAGATAAGCCGGAAGATACTCACCAGACTGGTGCTCTGCACGGGCTCTGACACAGCCTTAGCTGCAAACTCCTCCTGGCCAGCAGTACTTGGAGCTGTAGCAGCACTATCCTGGGCCAGCCCAGCCACCTGCCCACTGCTTGCATTCTTCAACTTATCTGCAATCCGTTGGTTTTCTTTCTCTAGCTTGATTTTGGCTAATTGTGCTTCCAACATCCAATGCTCTTTTTCCTGCTCTAGTTTAGAAATCTTTTCCAAACTCTGTTGAACCTTAAAAAGTAACAAAGAGTTTTACATCTCAAAGAATAAAGGAGACAAAATTAGTTTACAGAATGTAAGCCATAACTACTTCACAGAGGTGAAGACATTAAAGCTTGACCTTTCTTGCACTACAATTATTAAACAGAATAGAAGAGACATAATCATAAATAAAGAAATAGAACTAAAGTACAAAAATAATCCCTCATCATTAAGGGACAGAAAAAAAGCAGAGAGCAAAAAGGAAAGGAAAAGAGTAGAAAAAGAATCTCTAATGCATTCAACAGATACATTAAAAGCGAGAACAGATAAAGAATTCTTTAGTTACATGTATCCAGAGAGGAATTTAGGATGAATTCTCTGGATAAGCCCCCAGGACATAAATCAGGACTCTCTGCTCCCATCTCCTGCTTGCAGTGCAGAGAGGTTTCCCTTTCCCTTTCCCTAGTTCTTTCTACCCTATCTATATTTCTTGAAGTAAATCCTTGCTGAATTAAAAGAAATAAAAAGTCTGTATTTCTTCTGTACTAATAACCAGAATTCCATAAGCATTCTTGAGAAGCAATAAACAAAGATAGATACCCAAACTGAAAAATAGGCACTAGGACAAGACAATAAAATAAAGAGAAGGTGCTCACTAATTATTAAGAAAAAGCAAATTAAACCACTCAGTTGATTCAAATTCAAAAGACAGAAAACACTAAGGTGAGAATGTTTGTGAAAAAGAACTTTTATTCAGAGTGCCAATGTTAGATTTGAAAGAATATATGCAACATAATTTCTTAGGAAATAAAATAATCTAGTGTTGGAATGCAAAATAAAGTTGCATTTAGGAGAGAAGAGAGAGGAATATAGTAACTGGAAAGGGGCATAGGGAAGGCATAACTTGCTCACTCACGTGTTCTCTCTCTCCTTTCCTACTTCCCTCCCTGCCTTTCTCCCTCCTTCCTTCAGCTTTTTCCACTCAAGGCTGGTGCTCTACCACTTAGGCCACAGTTTTACTTTCAGTGTTTTGCTGGTTCATTGGAGATAAGAATCTCACACTCTCCTGCATAGGCTGGCTTTGAACCTCAATCCTCAGATCTCAGCCTCCTGGGCAACTAGGATTATAAGCATGAGCCATTAGCACCAGGCTCCTAGTAATTTTTTCTCAAGTATAGCTAACATGGAAAATAATACTACCTGCCCTGCTCTTTTTGAATCTAGTTATATTAATGTTCACTTGTAAAAATTAGTAATTTGCATGCTTTCCTTTAAGTATGTTATGCTTTAATAAGTTTTAAAAGTCTATGTTCTGGGAAAATAAAAGCATGAGAATTACATTAAAATAATAGCAACTATACAATGAATTCTAATGATATACCATTATCCCGATTGAGTAATTACCATGTACCAGGCAGTATGTGACACCTTACTCCTATTATCCCAAAAGAGCATCTTAATAGGCCTATGATTCTTATTTCTACAGAGGAGAGCAAAGGTTCCCAGCAGCTACACCATCTGCTAAACTAGAGAACTCAGAGCCAAGAGCTGGGACCCCCATCTGCCTGGCTCACAGGTTGGCTTCTTTCTGCTGTACCACAGTGCCTCCCACTGGCTGGAAGCAGTCTTGCATGACTCTGAAAGGTGAGTAATAACCTTTTCCTTTAAAGAGGCAGGAAGGGAGGCCCAGAGTGTCCAGGACACAGGCCCCCTCTAGTCCCTGGCATCAGGAAAGCATTAGCTCTGAGGTCAGACAGGTCTGCCAGTCAGTACTCATTTAGGCAAAATTTACTTCGTTTCCTTTAGTCTTACTTCCCTTACATTAAGAAAGAAAATACAAAAAAAATAATTCTTAAGGTATTGTACCTCTTATTAGTTCTGAGAAATTTGTTTTTCAGGAATTCCTTTCTGGATTAAATTTTTATCTCAACATTCTGGTGCATTAAGGTTAGAGGGGTAAGTGATGTACTTCCAATGGAAATAGGCCAGCTTCAACAAAACATTTCTTCCACTCTCTCTCTTCCCTCCCCCTTTCCTCCCTCCTCATCTTTTTTTTTTTAAAGGAGAATTCTGAAAATTAAACATAAGCTATTAAACTGAGTAAGTCTCTGATAAGATTTAAACTGGTATCAATCTGTACCAATTACTAGAAGGAAAAGTACCTCCCACCCCAATCTGCCCCCCAATTCAACTGATAACCAAATACCGGAAATTTCCCATTCCTACTCATTTATGAAATGAAATGACTTGACAAATATCTTGCTCCTCTCCTCTTTATTACCTTAGTATTTTTGGAATTTAAAACTGGTATCCAGAGTCCTTTATACTCCCATATCCTGTACTAGAAGCAGAAAATGTTTCTCCCCTTTTCCCCCATTTATATGAAAATAAGTCCATGCTAAACTAAATATATATATATGCCTACAGAAATAATCATCATGGTCAAAATGTGTTATTACTCAGCCACCATCTGTAGCACCAACTGAATCAAGACGACTTATTTAGAGCATCAACACACACATTTTTCAACAAATTATGTCTACAGTCTTTTTTTAGTATGCATAGAATAATGAATGTTTCATGTTACACATTTATCTATGTAGTTTTTTGAGTCATTTATGTTCTCTAAATACCTCCCTGGGGCATTTAACATTTCTGCTATTTAATAAGTTGCATGACTTTCCAGGCACCATACCTGCTGTGCGAGGCCTTCTCGACTTTCCGTGGAGCTGAGAAGGACCCGGCGGTTGGCCAGGGCTTCCTCATAAGGCACAGACTCCAGGACCGGCTACAGAAAAAGCATTGTGAAGAATTAAAGAAAAGACCATCTTACCCTTCCTCCAAGCCCACATAACACAAGACTACTCAATGGGGTGTGAAAATTAATCTAGCTGTATATGGACACAGACTAGCTCCTTTAATACGAAAAGAAAAGAATGATAGAGAACTTGTTATAGCAATTAAAAGCTACACTAACTAAAACCATATGGTCTTGCTCCAAAGTACAGATAAAGGAAAGAAGAGAAAATTCAGAAACAGGAAAGGGCAAATATAAAATCTATTCTAGAACAAATATTACATTTATTATCCAATGAAGAAACAAATAGACTGGGTAAATGATGCAAGAGCAATCAGCTTATTTTTTTTTTAATTTTTAAAAATATTTTTATTTTTGTCGATCATGGGGCCTGAATTCTGGGCCTAAGTGCTGTCCCTCAGCTCTTCAGCTCAAGGCTAGCGCCCTACCACTTGAGCCACAGCACCAGTGCCAGCTTTTTTCTGCTTGTGTGGTGCTGAAGAATCGAATCCATGCATGCGAGGCAAGCACTCTACCTCTGAGGCAACTTCCCAGTCCCCATTTTATTTTTTTTGTGATGATGTTAAGTGGGTTTGAACTCAGCACTTTATGCTTGCTAGGCAGGTACTCTACCACTGAGCTATACCTACAGACCTTGTTTGTACAGACCAGGTCCATGCCTGATCCATGATACTTCTATTTTTCTCTTCCCTTTTCAGTTAAGCATTCACCACAATATATAGCTACCAGTTGAGGAGTCTCCTATGTATGTCTTGGCTGTCCTGGTCTCAGGCTCTCACAAAATACATACATTTCTACACTATGCTCAAGAGGAATACAGTGGGGGCTACATATTCAATGATAGAGCAGATTGCTGCGACACTCAAAATGTTTATCAGGTTAAAAAGAAAAAAAGCTTTGGGGGCCAATGGCTCATGCCTGTAGACTTAGGAGGCCAAAATCTAAGGATCTCAGTTTGAAGCCAGCTCAGAGATTCAAATCTAAGACTCTCTTACCACAAATTAACCAGCAAAAAGCCAGAAGGGCTCAAATGACTGCCTTCATCAAAAAAATACAAGCGAGAGTGTATGAGGTTTGAATTCAAGCCCCACTACCAGCACATACGCACATACCTCCCCCCAAAAAAACAAAAGGAAACAATTCCAGCTGGATTCCAGTGGCTCATGCCTATAATCCTTGCTACTAAGAAGGCTGAGGATTGCAGTTTGAAGCCAGCCCAGGAAAGAAAGTCTGTGAAACTCTAAGCTCCAATTAAACACAAACACACACACACACACTCACTTCTGTATTTTGTCTATGGTTTATACAGATGCCTATAATTGCTTAGAGACTGGAAGCTTACATACCAAATTGATATATAGGTAGAAACTAAAATCGAGAGTTACTATCTATAATATTCTAATTTGTAATTAAAGCCTTAGATGAAGAGGTGGGTAAAGTGAAATGTAAAAGTTGTATGTTTAATAATACTCATTACAGGGCTGGGAGTGTAGCTTAGTGGTAGAGTGCTTGCCTCTCATGCATGAAGCCCTGGGTTTGATTCCTCAGTACCACATAATCAGAAAAAGCTGGAAGTGGCGCTGTGGCTCAAGTGATAGAGTGCTTACCTTGAGCTGAAGAGCTCAGGGACAACGCCCAGGCCCAGAGTTCAAACCCCATGACCAACAACAAAAAGAATAACCATTGCAGCCAGGCACCAGTGGCTTCCATCTGTAATCTACTCAGGAAGCTAAGATCTGAGGATTGCTGTTTGACAGGAAAATCTATGAGACTCTACAAAGTCCATGAGACTCTACCAATTTAACTACCCCAAAAAGCTGCAGCTCAAGAGGTACAGCACTCGCTTTGAGCAAAAAAACTCAGGGACCGTGTCCATGCCCTGAGTTCAACCCCAGACTAGTACATACACGGAGAAAGAACACCCATTGCAGTGCTGCATGTAACTGAGAATAACATCTTATATGTCAACAATGAAATGGTTCAATTATTCATGGTATACAACAAAACACTATAAGAGGCATTAGAAATATGACTACAGTTGAGCATGGTGAAGCATGCCTGTAAGCCTAGCTACTTGAGAAGCTAAGAACTTTATGCACAGCCTAGATAGTAAAGCCAGGCCCCATCTCAAAAAAAAGAATGATTAGACATATATTTTGATATATATATATATATATATATATATATGTATATTCCCAATGTATTAAGAGGAAAGAAGATTATAGATCTATGTTTCTTTCTGCTAGATATATTTTGCTTTGATAGCTTGTATATATGCTTATATACCTTGAAAGTTGTTTATATGTAGAAATATTCTAACAAGGTTAAGAATAACACATTTGAGTGGTAGGATTTTGAATGATCAGAACTTTCTTTTAACGTACTGCTGTTATCTTTTGACTTTAGTGTGTATGTGTCAGTACTGGGGCCTGAGCTCAAGACTTAGGTGCTGTCCCTTTGTTTTTTTGCTCAAGGCTAGCGTTCTACTACTTGAGCCACAGCTCCACTTCTGGCTTTTTGGTGATTAAATAGAGATAAGAGTCTCATGGACCTTCCTGCCTGGACTGGCTTTGAACCGTGATCCTCAGATCTCAGCCTCTTAAGGATGATTTATTAAAATTTCCAAACAAATTTCAATTTTTTTGTTAAGATTTCTGAAGTTCCATTTTTACTGCCTGCTGGCCTACCTTACTACAGGCTCTCTACTGGCACTAGGGACATGAATCTGCTTCTCACCAAAGGTGTGAGTTTCTATCACCTTTTTTCCAAAGATCATCTACCAATCTCCTGAATCCCCAAATTATACCAAGTCTAAATGACATGGACTGTGGGGGAAAAACCCCGCCATTCTCTGCAACTAGTTATGATTGCTTTAAGTTAAGTGTGGATGGCAGCTTACAAACCTTTCTCAAAGCCTTCATGTAGGCAGCAGCCTTCTTCTTATACTGCAGCATGCATTCCGCAGAGAGAGGACTGATGAACCCACTCGCCGCCTTGGGCCCATAGCTCAGTGAAGTGATAAAGTAGTCCACATTGTTGCCAAAGAAAGATGCAATCTAAACACAGCATAATAATAATAAAAAAGGCTTGTTCTCCAACGGTAATCTCAAATATAGCTATCTATCTATCTATCTATCTATCTATCTATCTATCTATCTATCTATCTATCTATCTATCTATCTATCTATCAGGTTTCAGAACTGTTTAGAATTTCAATACCTGCTTAAAAAAACCTGTGTTTACCTAGAATACTGTGGCGAAATATTTTTTTTAAAGAGAGGATCATAAATAATTGAGAATCGACTTCTGAACTGTCCTTCTCTAGACTGTTCTGTTCTTAAAAGCCAAGACTGATTCTAATTTACTCTACAGCTTTTCCATGAGCATTCATGAGCTATTTACATCATTAATTTCTGCAGTAATGTCAAATACCCCTGTAGGGACTTATCCATTTCATTTGCATTTAACTTCGAATTTTCACATTTCAATAGAAGACATAACATAAACATCTTGAAATCTTTAAACATCTTTAAATCTCAATTTGTAAAATATATATAGAAAAAAGACTTAAGATTTCAGTGGATTGTCATTTATAGACTGAGCACTTGTTAAATCTATATAGACACCCATAAAGATCCACGACTATAATTTTTCTGAACCACAATTGCATATCTACAGTGTTATATGAAACAGTGATATAAATAAAAATATCTGCTTAAAGGTTCTAGCCAGAAAAATAAGTCTGATATATTAAAGCCTCCTGAGTACTGCAATTATAGGTATACTCCTCCATGCCCAGCTCTAAAGATTGTTTTTCACTAATGCTTTATATTATGTAAATAAAAGTCTGTTAGGTAGTACTCAAAGAAAATAGTTATTCTGAGCTAAGGCAAGGTGCCAGTGGCTCACATCTATAGTCTTAGCTACTCAAGAGGCTGAGATCTGAGGATCTCTGCCTGGGCAGAAAAGTCTGAGACTCTTATCTCCAATAAATTACAAAACACACACACACACACACACACACACACACAAGTAGAGCTGTGGCTCAAGTGGTAGAGAGCTAGCCTTGAGCAAAAGAAGCCCAGGTACAGCACCCAGGCCTGAGTTCAAACCCCTGGACCGGTTAAAAAAATCTTGAGCTATTTTTTTGCTTGTGAATAATAAGACTATACCCCTTATCTATACACAGATCATGGTACCATATACATTTTCCAAACTTTCTTTAATAGGTATATGCTATGCCTTCCTGCTGTTAAATTATAAACTATCAAATTTAGTTTAATCAAAGTATATTAGCTAAATATGAAGCTGTTGTCAACCAACAGTTCAAATATTTCATTAGTCAAAAATATTTATAAAAAATTCCCAAGTGGAGATCAGGTACACTTCCATGAGGCACAGTATTAACATTTAACTTTTTTTTTTCTTTTGGTCAGTCACAGGGCTTGAACTCTGAGCACTGTCCCTCAGCTCTTCAGCACAAGGATAGTGCTCTACCACTTGAGCCACAGTGCCACTTCCAGTTTTTCTGGTGGTTTATTGGGCTCGCTTTGAACCTCGATCCTCAGATCTCAGCATCCTGAGTAGTTAGGATTATAAGGCATGAGCCACTGGTGCCTGGCTTACAGTTAAAATTTTTTTAAAGCTAAAATAAACTATGAGCATATAGGATCACAGAAAAAGCAGCAAGCGTAGCAATTCCAATAAAATATTAACATGCTCCTAAGTGAACAAATATTATCCATAGGAAGCTTCTGGCACACTGTTAATGAAAAGAGTGGAAAGGAGGCTCACTGATCTATTATGAGCCCAAAGAACCTCAAGGTAACATGTGTTAATTATGGATTAACACTACAGCAGTCACAAAGACCAGTTCAAGTTCAAGTAAGCTGACAATGAATGTCTAGCATGACCTGTGATCATTTTGATTGACTTAAACTACTTGAAAATGTTACAATTATGGTTAACCTATCAGACAGGAAAATGATATACATAGTGGTCTGGGTTTTCTACAATGGTGAGTTCTGAAAGAAAGCTACCTTAAGGAGATGTTGAAATTGTGACTCTGAGTGTATGAGCGCTGCAGAAACCACAACACACAGGATCAAAGGATGGGTAAGAAACCGCTTTAGTTTATAATAATCCAGTGCTTAATGATCCACATGTTCATTGTCTAACACTCAAGGATCAACGAAAGATACGTATGGATGCCACTTTAAAATGAATTACTAAGTTATAAAATCACAGAGGCAGTATCATCACAAGTGTTACCAGAAAAAAACAAAAAACTAAGAGTTGGAAAAACACCTAAAATATTAAGAGGTTGTACTGGACTTGTGCTTTTCTTCTTCTGTATCCTCTCATTATTTTCCATAACAGACTAACATAAGCAAGGATCTATCTTGAGAACATGTAGAATCCTCAAATCATCCAATCTTATGCTGAAATACAAAATGACTGATCTGCTCACTTATCACAAATCTACCACACTGTTTGAAAAATTGAGTAGATGATTGAACCTGAAGATGGAAACAATTAAAAATGCATTGCCTAAGAAAGAGGAAAAAAGAGATCCCATTATTTTATAAACATCAAAAAAAAATTTCCACAATCCTTAGACAGACCAATTTTACTATTTTTTAAAAGGAACATTTTTAAGAATTGAATTTAAGGTCAATACAAGCCAGAGGATAAGTACCTTTCCTGCTCCATTTGTTAACGCTACTACTGATGACAGGATGCAGTCATTAGTTGTTATCAGCTTCTGTGTTGCTGTTGGAAGTTCGTGCTCTATTGTAGTTTTTTGGTTATAATGTTTGGAAATATCTATAAAAACAATGAAATCAAAGCTCACTACCTGTATACACTATTTATACATGTTGCATATAAATGACCAGGCCACTCCTCATATCTATTCTTACAGATTTATAAAGTAAATGTGACAAAGAACAGCTCCTAAATAACAGTTCACAAATCCAGGTAGAAAGGACAGGCGGTGAAGACCTCCTAACACCTTTACCACCTGTGGGTCTGCATCTTGCTCATTAGAGGATTGGATGATTTGGCCCTCACAAGGCAGTATGCTGAGCTGAAAGCTGAATCCCAATACTATATACAGTTTATAATATATATAAGATACAGTTGACAAGCAGGTTCTAGATGCTTCTTATGTTTTATACAAAATAAAACTTTAAAAACTATTTCCTCTGAAATTTGACACTGTGAATTAAACATCACAATGAATCATCTAGACACCTGGACTATTTCCAATACCACTAGCAATTGTTCTTACCTATTCTCCTTCCCCTACCCCCAACAGACTCTAAAAGAAAGAGAGGAAAAGGGGTAGTGGAATCTAAAAGCAAGACAGAGCTTATAGATTATTTGGTTAAGACTCAGAATCACAAGCTAAGAAAGAAGCATAAAAAATGCCTTTTTAAAAAAAAATTCCCCTGCTGGTTGCTAGTGGCTCACGCCTGTAATCCTAGCTACTCAGGAGGCTGAGATCTGAGGATCATGGTTCAAAGCCAGCCCAGGCAGGAAAGTCTGTGAGACTCTTATCTCCAATAAACCATCAGAAAACCAGAAGTGGTACTGTGGTTCAAGTGGTAGAGCACTAGCCTTGAGCTGAAGAGCTGAGGGACAGCACCCAGGCCCAGAGTTCGAATCCTTTGGAAGACTATGACTATATTCTTAGGAGAACAAAATCAATTAAAACAGATCAAGGTTTAATACACAGACTTTCATCACTCGGGATGGTGCAAAGACATTATACTTGTTCTGGGAATGCTGGTCTGGCTTCCTTGATCCCTTCAAGCTTAGCCTCTAACAAGTGTAAGGAGTTTTGCTAAGGGCCTCAGAATGGCATGTCTTTACATACCTGCCCTTAATCAGTGGTATGAGTTTCTGGCACAGGTCCTGTGCATGAAGATTCCTCCTTAGCACTGTTTACTTTCAGAAATGAAACAAATGGGAACAGCAGAAGGCAGACCACAAAGCCAAAGGCTACTGAGCCTTTTTCAGGTCTCTAATCCTTGGCAGTGTTTGTTCAAATTTCAACATGCAAGGCTCACCTTTCATGATGTCATGAAATCCATTCAGAGCAGCACCAACATTTGTTAAGACAGAACTGTAGTTGGTCCGAAGAAGTCCATCTGGCTCTGTACCTAGGAAACCCAAGTCATGAACCTCAGCATTGTCCTGCAAAGTCGACCACCCTCTTCCTCCCTCTATTTTTGGGAAGAATGACTGCCTGTAGCATGTTGGAAACAAAGATTTTTACACCCTTTGCTGATACATTCACATGTAATGATAACAAACACAGGAACATCAAATGCAGATATGTGTAATGGCTAAGAAACCAAATAACTTTGCTAAGCAGGAACAGATCTTTTTGGAATGAAATCCTCATGAATTATCAACTCATGGTTAGATAACCAATTTCTCATTTTTTCATTCCCTAAACATTACTTGTAGATTAAGCACCATTACAGCAATACTATCCAGACACCATGAGACCCTAGGTCTTCCCCAATAGTATATGGAGCTCTGCATATCTGTCCCCCAGCAACATGGTAATCATTACAAAGGAAAAATAATCACTTGAACTTTCTAGAAATGGTTATACAGTTACAAATAAATTAGTATTTATTCCAGAATATCTATAACTTAGCAAAAACAGTAGGTCTGGAGCATATGAACCAAGACTTCCTTCTTCCCCTACCAGCTCAATGAAACAGAAACCCCACTCCCAACAAGTATAGCCAAACAGAGGACTTCCTCCTCTCCACCATCTAGGAGGCATTTTTCATTTTTGTCCCCAGCTTTTTGCTGCCAAGGCTAAGTTCTGAGTAACAAAGTCCAAAAGGAAGAGGAGGAGGTCCTTTCTTTCACTCATCCCTCACTCCAGAAATGGAGGCTCTACCTTGATCATATGCTGCTTAGAATACCTGGGCCCTAGCACCCTTTGCCCCAGCCTGTCAATATGGGTTCTATGTTGAAAAAAGCAGACCAAGAAGACTGGAGGATGTTTCCCATTTCCTCCCATCAAACACTTAGCTCCTAATAGGGAGGTATCACTCGGAGAGAAGTGCAGCAACACCAGAACCATGTCTCAGAGAGTTAGCTCCTGAGAGACAACTCTAAAGCAAGAGCTGAGTCTCTTTGTACAGGAACTGACTTCACTTGCAATACTATGTGGAGAACTTAAAGCTTGTGGCTTTTAAAAAATAAAGTCTATGGTAAAAGCATAAAGGAAGCTGACCCATTCATTAGAGATAGCAACTAGACTATAGGCTAGGATGTCACTGAGAAGCAGCAAAGAAAACAGCTACCAGCCCTCCTGGGATCCAAACAAAGTGTACTTCAAACACTAGAAGCCAAGCATGTTGATGCAAACCTGTCACCCCAGTATTTCTGAGGCTGGAAGCAGGAAGATAGCAAGTTTGAGACCAACCTGGGGTACATAGTGAAATCTTCAAAAAAAAATAAAAGTGAAAAAATAAAAAACAGGAAGGCATCAGACACCCATGGCTAATGCCTGAAATCCTAGCTACTCAGGAGGCTGAGATCTGACAATCTCGGTTTAAACCAGCCAGGACAGATACGTTTGAGAGACTCTTACCAACAATTAAGCACCAACAATGAAGCCAGAATAAGTGGTAGAGTACTATCCTTGAGCAAAAAACCTCAGGGACAGTGCCCAGCCCCTGAGTTCAAGCACCAGGGCGCGCGCACGTGCACACACACACACACGCGCGCGCGCACACACACACACACACACACACACACACAAAAGACAAAGGGAAATAATATTTAATGCATAGTAAATGTTTAATATTTTACATTTAACAATCACAGAAATAACTCCATTTCATAAATGGGAGTACAGAAGCATAGAAAAGCAGTGTTTTGCCCAAGGGCAATATTTAAATACATAATTTTCTACTCTACATCTTTGCTCTGCTCATTCTATCATCTCCATCCCCCTTCTAGATTCTTATGCTTCAAGCTGAGTCATGAGCACTTACTTGGCAGGGCAAGGAGAGCCACATAAGTCTGCAGCTTCTCAAACACAGCTGTCATCTTCTTCATGTCCTGGGACAGCTCTAGATTCCGAGCTCTTAATGCAGATGTGCAAAGAGAAGATTCACATTCTTCTTCTAAACTAGGAATGGGCAGATTTTTTAAAGTGAGTATCTAAATGACTTTGAGTTAGCAATTAGAAACTATTTAACTTCTCAAACATCTATATCCAAGGCAGACCTTACCAAAAAAGGAATTTGATCTTTTTATATGTTTTTTTTTGCCTACACAGAACTACTTGCTGCAAATGCCAATGGAGCAATGGAGGACTAAATGAAGGAAAAGATAAAAGTCATATACACACCCAGCCAGTGCTGGTGGCTCATGCCTGTATTCCTATCTACTCAGGAGGATTGATATCTGAGGATCCTGGTTCAAAAGCAGCCTGGGAAGAAAGTCTGTGAGACTCTCATCTCCAATTAGCCTCCAAAAAGCCAGAAGTGAAGCTGTGGCTCAAGTGGTAGAACACTAGCCTTGAGCATAAAAGCTCAGGGACAATACCCAGGGCCTGACTTCAAGTCCAAGGACTGGTGCACCACACACACACACACACACACACACACACACAATACCCAGGGCCTGACTTCAAGTCCAAGGACTGGTGCACACCACACATACACACACACACACACACACACACACACACACACACACCCTGAGGGCAATACAAGGAAATTAAAATATTAAATATTACAAGAAAGGCCACATGCCTGTGATCCCAGCTACTCAAGAGGCAGAGGATCAGGAGGATCTTGATTCAAAGCCAGCCCAGCAAAACGTTAGTAAAACTTCACCTCAACTGAAAAGTTGGATGTAGTGGTTCATACCATAATCCCAAGTACAACAAAATTCCACAAAAACATATCTGAGAAAATAACTCAGGCAAAAAGGGCTGGGAACATGGCATAAATGGTAGCAAGCATGAGACTCTGAGTTAAAACTCCAGTACCACCAGGAAAAAAAAAATCCTTAAAATATTTACAGGAGCATTTCACAAACTAAAAATATAATATTGCCACTGACACTAGCTGAAAGGCTAAGAAATCTTTTTGAGGGGGTGAGATGGGGGGATGGAAAATAGGAAAAAAACAAGGGAGGGGGTAACAATATTAGACAAGAAATTGTACTCATTTCCTATGCATGTATAGTTTCAAAATCCCAAAACAGACTGAAACCCAGTCTGTTAGAGGCTCAGATATAAAATTAAATACTAAGCATTTTCATAAAATACATTATATTCAGTTTTAGATAGTTACTTGGGGAAAATTTCTTAATGTATAGAAATGTGAACTCTTCCTAACATTTATCTTAAAATGTATAGGTAATAGCCAGGAGTTGATGGCTCATTCCTATAATCCTAAATACTTAGGAGACTGAGATCTGAGGATATCAGTTTGAAGCCAGCCCAGACAGACAAAGCTAAAAGACTCTTCTGTCCAATTAACCAGCAAAAAGCTGGAAGTAGAAGTATGACTCATAGGACAAAGCACCATCCTTGAGGAAAAAAAAGCGAAGCAAAGAGTGTAAGACCCTGAGTTCATGTCCAGTACCAACACATACACACACATACACACACACACACACATGCACACGTGTAGTAATCAAGTAAAAAATGTTTTACATAAAACTAGAGAAGTACTAACCCTGGCCGTGTAATACCAAAACTCTAGAGGTCAGAGCCAAAGGATTGTGAGTTCAAGGCCAGCCTGCACTACATAGCAAGACACTGTTTCAAAAACATCCAAACAAACAAAAAACAAATGAAAAACTTAGCATGACAATCCTAACTATGTCCATGTCCTTCCCTCTCCCTTGCCACTTTTATGTTACTTACAGCAGACAGCTCTAGTCAATTCTGAGCCTGCTTGCTACTTAACAAGAGGTCAGCCGGTCAATTTCACTGATATTTAAAGTAAAGCATCAAGTTATCTAAAAACATGAATTCCGTATGAAAAAGGGCTGAAAAATAGTATAAAACATTCAACAACAAAAACCTTAGATCAAGAAAGGAGTTATGGTTTTTAAAAGGTAATCATGCAGGGCACCGTGGCTCACACCTGTAATCCTTGCTACTGAGGAAGCTGAGATTGAGGATCCTGGTTCTAAGCCAGCCTAGGCAGGAAAATCTGTGAGACACTTATCACCAATGAACTATTCAGAAAAAGCTGGAAGTGGCACTGTGGCTCAAGTGATAGAGTACTAGCTTTGAGCAGAGACAGGCTCAAGGACAAAACCCAGGCCCTGAGTGCAAGCCCCAGGACTGGCAAAAAAAAAGAAAAAAGAAAAGAAAAGAAAAAAAGATAATCATTAAAAAAAAATGTACAACCTATCAAACTGTATCAAATAACGTATTTTTCTTTTGTTATTTTTTTTAACCCAGGCTGGCTTTGTATTCAAGATCCTCTTTTTCCCTCCCCCACGGTATAACCCTTGTTTTCACTGTATTTAATACTGGTTTAATTTGTGGAGGGGAAGGGAAAAAACAAATTGTTTAAATAGGGATACAGGTGGACCCATTGCAAAACCAACTTTACAACTTTGGGGAGGGGGGGATGGGAAGGGAAAACAGGAGGAGGCAACAATGCTTGATAAGAAATGTATCATTACCTTGCCCATGTAACTGTAACCCCTCTGTATGGTATTTTCATAATATATAAAAAAATAAAAGATCCTCTTTTTTGCTAATACCAAAGTTTGAACTGAGGGCTTCCCACTCACTCATCATTCTTACATTGCTGGCACTATACTACCTTGAGACATGCCTCCAGTCCAGTTTTTTGGAGTCTGGAAGACTTTTCTCCCCAGCTGGCTTCAAACCTCAATTCTCCAGGTCATAGCCTCCTCAGAAGCCAGGATTTCAGGCATGAGACACCAGTGCCTGGCTTGGAATGCTTCTTAAATTGAATCTTCTTAAATATAAGCCAAACCATAAAGATTTATTCAACGTTAATGTTAAACTTAGTCAATTTTCAAAAAAATACTGAAAATTAAGCTATAACACGTAAGGCTCTAAATGAAGTTAAAATCATCACTATTAAAGTCCTAATTCTCTGAGACCTAAAATCCTCTCATATACACAAGTCACAGAATTTGGTTAAATACCTTGCTAGGTAACAATTAGGAAGTAAGATATCTCTTAAATTGTCAATTTTAAATGTTACAATTCTGTATTTTCAATATTTATAAGCAGTTAACCTACATACTTTCTAAACCTCTGTTCCAGTTTTTATTCTTTTTTTTTTTTTAAGCTAAAGACTTAGGTGAAATAGGCACCTTGGTTATTTTAGATCCAAAGTATCAAAAGTAATAAAGGTTCATCATAAAAAATTTCAGTGACATATATTTTCTGCCTTTCTATAAATACTTAAGGCAGAATATTAACGTTACTAAGTGGCATAAGATGAAAGCCATGATTTTTTATAATTAAAAAATCACCAATAATAAAAATAAGAACATACTATTTCAAAGATACCTAAAGTGCTAGGCGCCAGTGGCTGACACCCGTAATCCCAGTTTCTCAGGAGGCTGAGAACTGAAGATCAAGGTTTGAAACCAGCCAGGCAGGAAAGTCAATGACACTCTTAACTCCAATTAACCATTAAAAAGCCAAAAATAGAGCTACAGCTCAAGTGTAAAGTGCCAACCTTGAGCCAAAAAGTTAAGGGTCAGCACTCAGGCCCTGAGTATAAGAACTATTACTAGTACACACACACACACACACACACACACACACACACACACACCACATACACAAAAACCAAACGCAATAACACATATTAATTTCAGTAGCTATGTCATAAGTGATTACTGAAGACCCCAATTCACACCATTACATGGCTGTAAGAGCAACACAGAACAGCACTACTGAAGACCACCGCTGACAGACAACTCCACTCTCTACCACACTTTTCCTTGTGCACACAAGTTCCCATGGGCAGACGGTCAGTCAGATCACAAGAGGCATGGGTCCTGTTTTATCAACTGCAGAGCAAGTCAGGTTCCAGCACAGTCCCCCAAGCTCCCTGGCCTCCAGGGGAATACCTTTTTAACTGATAAGGAAGAATCTTCCTAAGGAAACATACGTAGGAGGTTAGATGCTCTGAAAAGGTTTTCATTTTCACAGTTGTCTCCTGGAAAAGAAAAACAACATCAAAGTTAAAAATGCTACTGGACTAGAGGATGTCCCACTTCCAGACATAGACAAGGAAGAAAATTACCAGGACGGTCACAGTGTCCTCAGTAATACTTTCAAATAAATGCAGCATTCCTTCCTCAAGGGGGCGGACATAAGATGCATTTTCATGAAGGTATTGTGAGAACTAAATAGGAGAAAACAAATTGTGAATTTATTCACTGGAAAACAAATATCAACACACTTGTAAATGGATCTATTGAGTTATAAGCCTAAGTTCTTTTGGAAGTTTTCTGTGAAATTTGGCTTTCCCTGTATGCATCCCTCTGAGAGTCCCAAATAATATCCCTACTCCTCATCCCAGTCCAAATCAATGAAGCAGGAGTGACACAGTGAATGACCAGGCATTGGAGTAAATGAACATAGGATGATAATACAGCCCAGCAGTGGCTGACTAGTGTCCCTGAACACCTGCTTTTCTATAAGGATCCCTGTCTACACACAGGGATTTTTGCATTACATACTTCATTTTTTAAAAATACAAGCTAAAAGCCTGGTGGTGGTGGCCCACACCTATTTGAATCTAGTCACTTGAAAGGTTGAGATCAGGAGGATCATGGTTCAAGGTCAGCCAGGGCAAAAAAAGTTTGCACTATCCCATTTCAACCAATAGCTGGGCACAGTGGCACCTGCCTTTCATCCTAACTATGTGGAGGAGGCTAAAACAGTGAGGACTGCAGTTCGATGCAGCCTGAACAGAGAAGTCTACAGACTCAATGGAAGAAACTAGGTGATGTAGTGCATGCCTGTTCTCCCAGCTACAGCAGAAGGCAAAAATTGGAAGGATTGTGGTCCAGGCAATAAATGAGACGCTAACTCAAAATAATCAATGCAGTAGAGTGTCATGGCTCAAGCCTGTAATCCTAGCTACTTAGGAAACAGAGATCAGGGCATCAAGGCTCATTGTCAGCCCAGAAAGAGAAAAACCAAGCTACTGGGTATTATTTTTATTGTAGACAATATTCAAGACTAACAAATGCCAAGAATATAATTACAAATGATATTAAAGCATTTATAACTAGCATAGATCCCTTAGCCTGTAAAGGTATGAAGAATAGCTTTCATGGGTTGTAAATATAACTCAGTGGGACAAAGAGTATGCTTAGCAGGTGCAAAGCTGTAAATTCAATCCCAGCAATCTCAACCCCTAAAATAATTCAGAAAAAAAAGCATATAAATCAAAAACTTAGAAGCTGAAGGTAACTTTTACTTAGGAATATCTCAGTTGTCAGTACTATGTACTAGCTCAAATTCAGTTTCTCAGCACAGAAGTGTAAGGTCTCATCGTGAATAACTGAACTCACTACAGACTATGCACAAATATGATCCTGGACCATTCAGTCCCTCTAGGCTCTACCTTCACAGCTGCACTCTAAGCTTCCAGGTCTTAAGGGCCACCTTATGATTCTAGGAACAATTTCAGACATTCTGATCATCATCTAATAAGTGGTTTCCAAATTTCTTCCACTATTATAAACTTATTAGAAAACTCACATAGAACCTTTCATTGTCGAAACACCTACAGGTAAAATACTGAGAAATACATGAATTCTTCAAAATAATGAAGTGCCTTAGAATTGGCAAAGAATCAATATTAATTAAAAACTCTATTGTAAAATTATAGGAAATGTAACTATATTAAAATGGGGCAGTACTACTTTTCCTAGTCAGGCATTTTGAAGCTTTTTCCCCATAGTAATGACCAAACAGTATTTCATAGGACAAAGTTTACTTTTTCAGGAACCTCAATGTTTTTTGTGGAGTCCAATTAAGATTGGTGAAAACCAAACTTCTTATATATAAGGCACAATAAATAACAATAGAAGGCCAGGCACCAGTGGTTCATCCCTGTAATCCTACCTATTCAGGAGGCTGGTTCAAAGCCAGCCCGGGCAGGAAAGTCTGTGAGACTCTTATTTCCAATAAATGGCCAGAAAAACAGAAGTAGCGCTGTGGCTCAAGTGGTAAAACACTGGCCTTGAGCTGAAGAGCTGAGGGACAGTGTCCAGACCCAGAGTTCAAGCCCCACAACCAACAATAAAATAATAATAATAATAAATAAATAAAATAAATAATAATAGAAGCTAATCCTTACTAAGTGCTTACCAGTCTTCTCAATACTTTATCCCATTTAATCTTCAAAGATACATGCCTGTGAGGTAGGTACTATTTCCTCCATTTTAAAGATAAGGAAACCAAACCACATAGAGATTAAACAAAATCTCTAAAGGGCCTAGCTAGAATATGGCACTGCTGGACTGAAAACCCAAGAAGTCTGATTGCAAGTCTTTGCTATACTAATAGGCACTTTGAGTATGAAAGGATACTAAAAACTATTCCTAGAAACTTCATGCTGCACAAAAACAAGCTGGGAAAAAGAACTATAAGAAGAGTGGCACGACTTATTTCAGATCACCATATTATCAGCTCTCAGAGACAGACACCTTTAGAGCAAAATCCCACAGGTTCCTCCCTGTGGAAGCTAGTCTCCAAGATGATCCCTATGTATTCCTGCCTCGGGTAGGACTTCTCTTATTTCGGAAGAGGTGATGGTATGTAACTACCCAGGTAGTATCAGCTTCCACCTTGTTCTCTTGCATCAATTTCTCTAGGGAATGTTAGCTGCCACGTTATGAGGTCACTCAAGTGCCCTATGGAGAGGGGCATGCAATGAGAAACGAGCTCCAGGAGCCAACACTAAGTTACAAGGCATGTGGAAGCCACGTTGGAAGTGAATCCCAAGCTCCAGCCACATCTTTAGACGAATGAAGTCCCAGTGATATCTTGAGTGGAGCCTTTTGAGAAATTATAAATCAAAAAATCCTTCAGATACTTAGTTCCCGAATTCTTGACTCACAGGAACCATGTTTAATAACAAATTATGATTTTTCTAAACCACTATGTTTAGGAGTAACATATTTCATATTAATAAGTAATGAACTCATTATCATTTATTCTACCTTTTCAGTAATAAGAGATTTTGCAAACTAGCTTTTTTTAGAATTAGCTGGGGAGAAAAAAAGGATAGAGAGGAGGAAAATCTATCAAGTCAAAGAAAGCATAAAGGAAGAGAAATCTGAAATTCTTAGGATTCCTTGTTTAAACCTCACAGTCTCAATTGACAAATGCCTGGAATCGCAACTGGATGTTAGGTTTCACTCCCAATCCATGTCCCCACAGGCAGGCCAAATGTCAGCTTTACTTATAACACGTTATTCTGATGCGCAATGATGAAAAGTTAGAGACTACAAACAAGAAGAAAGAAAAAAGCCATCAAATTAACCTTTCCAACAGTAAGATGGCACTTTTCCTCATGTCATCCCTGGTGAAAAAACTGCAAAGGCCTCAGTCCTAAAAGTGAAAGCTTGCCCTCAGGCTCACACCTGTATGCTACAATAGGGTGAGATCTGAGGATCATGATTCAAAACCAGCCCAGACAGAAAAGTGGCAGAAAAGTTCATGAGATTTTTATCTCCAATTACCCACAAAAAGCCAGAAGTAGAGCTGTGGCTCAAATGGTAGAATGCTGACCTTGAGCAAAAGAGCTCAAGGACAGCACTCCAAACCCTGAGTTCAAGCCCCAGTACTGGCACAAAAAAAATAAAAACAAAAGCCGAGCACTGGTGGCTCAGGCCTGTAATCCTAGCTACTCAGGAGGCTGAGATCTGAGGATCACGGTTCAAAGCCAGCCCAGGCAGAAAAGTCGGTGAGACTCTTATCTCCAATAAACCACTTAGAAAACTGGAAGTGGCGCTATGGCTCAAGTGGTAGAGTGCTAGCCTTGAGCTGAAGAGCTGAGGGAGAGCGCCCAGCTGAGTTCAAGCCCCATGACCTACCAAAAAACAAAAACAAAAACAATGGTTGCTCATTATTGCCCCTTCACCAGTCTACCCCCCACACCATGCTTTCCTGTTACATGAATTTTCTCACATCTTTTCCTCTTCTCTCCTATTCAAAGTTTGCTCATTCTTGAAGGCCCAGTCAAATCCCCAAAGAATCCTTTCCTGATACCAAAGGTTTTTATCTCCCCTCCCTGACAAGCCCATTCCAATTAATAGCCACTCACTGGCTCACTGACATTGAAGTCTTTTAGCAGGTTCCCTAGTATTTAATTTCTTAAGCAACTCTATTTTTGTCATACTTTGTTTTGACAGTAAAGCCATAACTGGTGGCAGGTTTTCCATGTCCTCCACAGTACTTAGCTAGTGGACAGAAATAGTATGAAAATAATTAATTCCCTATTTGTTTTCCCTACTTGTTTAAGGCAAGAAGTATTCTAGGTTAAATTTACCTTCTGATTCAATGGTGATATAGTATCTATGGCAGAATCAACAGGAAAAATCTGAATCCTCTGTTCTGTATAGGTATGGAAGTTCAGAAGAGCTGTCACAAGATCTTGAACAAAAGCCAGGGCCTGCCCAGCTATATCTCGCATCTTCAGCTTTAAATGAAAAGTATAAAAAGTCAACTATCAAATTATCATTCTAAAATTTTATTAAGTCGGCTTCTGGAGGAAAACATTTGGTGTCTAGGATGAGTATTTCCTGATTTAAATTCATTTCCTCCCACTAAAATTTTAATTCTCCTATTTAAGTAAATTAGAAGGACACTAGCTTTGACAAATACACCGGCTCCACCTAAACTAAGACATAGAAGATTTACTAACGTAAAAGAAAAGCACAGCTCAGGACAGGGGGCATGGCTCAGAGCACTTTATGCACATAAATGAGGCAAAAAGAAAGAAAAAACAAGTGTCCAAAAATTAAGGCATCCTCTAATTTGTTAACAGACAAAGGAGACAATAAAAATCAGTATTACTTATGAATGTACAAAGAAAAGTACTACTATTTTAAAAAATGAACAAGAATAAATGGACAAGAAAGTAAAGCAATGTATTAGCACATTAATTCTTATTTCTGGAGCGCACATGGCTGAACACAAGAACATGGACTTTATTCTTTACCTGATGCCTTCTATTGTGCAGTGGGACGTTGAGTGCATTATACTGATTATACTCTGCAAAACAGAAATGTGCCACATTAATCTCTCACTTTACATGCATAGAAAAACAGCTTAACTGCAAAATAATACATGTTCTGCAGCAAAGTCAGCTTTGCATGAGAATTCAAAATACCAATGACACAGTCACAAGTACAAACAGAATTTATATATGGAATCAGTGCTTCCTCATGTAAAGTAATAGTTACAGAAATTTTTTTTAACTTCAGGATTAAAAGAAAACCTAACATGCATGCTTCCAGTTCTAAGAAATCATCCAACTGCTTCTTTGGGGCTTATCAAGATTACTGAGAAGACATGATATTATTGCTGTCATTTGTCATTCTCTTTGACTGGTTATCATCCAGTCGTTCATAATGCTCCAAAAATACCTCTGCTTCCAAAACATGACAATGCTGGGAAGCCTATCACTGTCTGCTGCTACCAGTGATTCAATTCTAACTAGCCGGGGCTGGTTTTACTGTCTTTCTCACAGTCTTCCACCACGCTCCAGTCTGTCATGAGCCTCTGACGGCTTGCTAACACCGGTCTCATCCTTCCTGCACCCTCATTTCAGTGACCATCTCCTCACTACTTCAGCTCTCACACCTGCTTACCATCCAGATGTTGTCAGAAGGATCTGAACCAAATCCTCACTGTGAAAGTCTCTGTGTCATTCTCACCAGGGCTCTCTAATTAGAAAGCCACTGCTAACAACCTGACTAGGTGTTCCTAGTTCAATTTCTGTCCTTCAACCTCTCTTCGATCAGCCCTTCTATAGCCCTGCTTCTGTCTCCACCCCAGCCTGGCCTATCATTTCAACCATGCTTTTTGCAAACATAAAACCAAAACAAAGTCTGTTACAATGCATTCTACCTAATTTCAGGAGGGGCTTTGACTCTACTTAGCAATCCAGGATTCATTGCTGTGTCCCTATCTTACTTCCTACTACATCTACTCCCAATCTCTTCAAACTGAAACCCTCACTACCATTCCTCATCTCTTCTCCGGCTCCACAGATAAAATGCCCTCCCCTACTAGTACTTCTTATAATCTAGAGCCCCCGAGTCCATGTGTCACATATTGTTCTTCAGCTACCTCTCTTCCTAGGCCTTTCACAATAGCGGCTCCTCATCTGCTTTGGACCAGGCCTATCTGTCACTTCCTCCTTTCGATCTTTTTGACAGGGTCTTTCTATGTAGCCCAGGCTGACTTTGATCTTGTGAGCCTCCTGCCTCAGCCTCCTGAGGGCTAGGATTATAGGCATGTACACCTTCCCCCTACTTTCCATCTCTAGTGTTACTAGTGTCCTAAAAGATGCAACCCCAAGTGTCTCCACAGTTTTTGCTGTGCTGTACTTGATTCTCTGCCTTCATGTACTCCTTTCGTTCTCATTGTTGAAAAACAAGTTTGTTTTGTCTGTTTCCCAGTGTCCATGCATTCCTAGTCCCTGTGTAAGCAATCTGGTGTCCACACTACATGGAAAAACAACCTTCAAAGGTTACTAGTCCTTTCAGAGTTGCCAACAGTCCCAGACCCAGGTGCCTTTCTTACCATTGCTTCTCTGAGTCTCTCCACCCTACTTCCCAGCTTCTCTCCAGCACAGCTCCTCCCATCCCATATCTGAGACAGAGTTCACTGAGGATCCTTTGTGCTGTGCATACCCTGTTCCTGCCTCTCCACAGTGGGGCTTATCCAGCCCATAGTGTCCATTCTTTGCCTGTTGTCTGTTAGAACATTCAACAATCAAGTTAACCCATCATCTTTCCCATAAGCCTCCTCTACTGTTAACCATATGGACCTTACATGTCCTTTAAAAGCCTACCCATCAAAGACTTGATTGTTAGCCTGTAGTACTACTAGGAGAAAGTGGAACTTTAAGCAGGTGGGACCAAATACAAGAAAGTTAGGCCACAGGGAATGTGTCCTTGAAAGCGATCCCAGGATCTCCAGCCCCTTCCTTTCTCTTTGCTTCCCAAATGCAATGAGCTGAGCAGCTTTCCTCACCATGTGCTCCCATGAGCCTGCTTACCACAGGCTCAAAAGTCAACGGAGGCCAGCAAGCATGGACTGAACCTCTGAATGAGCCTGCTTACCACAGGCTCAAAACTCAACGGAGGCCAGCAAGCATGGACTGAACCTCTGAAAAAGCGAATGAAAACAAACTTCTCATCCTTTTAAATTAATAACAAGTATTTGATCTTAGTGATGAAAAACTTTTTGTGTGTGTGTGTTGGTCCTAGGGTTTGACTCAGGGCCCGGATGCTGTCCCTGGGCTTTTGTGCTCAAGGCTAATGCTCTACCACTAATGCCACAGCTCCATTTTCAGCTTTTTGGTGGTTAATTGGAGATAAGGGTCTCATAGATTTTCCTGCCCTGGCTGCCTTTGAACCATGATGCCTCTTGAGTAGCTAGGATTACTGGTGGCAACTGGACACCAGTGCCTAGCACTAACATACCTTTTATTTCTGTCAATTACCATATTTCCCCTTGCCTCCCCGACAGGACAAGCTGTTCTTTCTCCTTCCACAAAATCATCTGCACCTCTCTGCCAGCCTAGGTTGCAGTCTCTAGGTTGGCACACCAGAACTGTCATCTTCCCTGGTCTCTTCCCTCTCACTCTAAGGCAGTCTATGTTTTATAGGTGAATAAACCTTAACAGTACACAAATCTCATCTGGACAGTCCCTAGCTAAGAAAACTCTCCTACAACCTGGGGGCCCTGTGGATGAAATCCTCAATCTTTAGGGTACATTCCTACCCTCCCGCCTCACAGAACGAAACTGTCACTGCCCTCCACATCCCACCCACCCCAGCCAGCTGCCATTCTTTACTTCTGTTCCTGAGGCAATGGCAGCAGCTTCATCCCACATACAATTCCCTTCAAGAAACTCCTTGGCTGTTTTCTCTCTTCTCTGCCCAATAAAACCTACTCATGCACACCAACCTGATTCAAAACATGCCTCCTCTGAAAAGGCTTCCTCAGTCACCCACCAGATTAAGTGGTTTTTCATGGCATAAGAGAGTTTGTATTTTCCATGCAGGTATTTCTATATCTCTGCTCTATTAGAAGGTAGAGATCCTTATTGATAATTTTTTAGCCCCTATGCTACCTCCCCATGTGAGCACTTAGCAAGTGCTCTGTAAATATTTTGGGACTGAAAGTAGTAACACACATGAGATGTGATGTGACAAGGACCTGTAACTAAGTGACAATTAGTACTAGAAAAGGAAAACTCCAAAAGAGAGTCAAAAGGGAGTTATAAGAATCTGAAGGAGGCCAGGCACTGGTGGCTCACACCTGTAATCCTAGCTACTCAGGAGGCTGAGATCTGAGGATCCCAGTTCAATGCCAGCCCGGGCAGGAAAGACCGTGAGACTCCTATCTCCAATAAACAACCAGAAAACCAGAAATGGCACTGTAGCTTAAGTGGTAGAGCGCTCACCTTGAGCTGAAGAGCTGAGGAACAGCGCCCAAGCCCAGAGTTCAAGCCCCATGACTCACAAAAAAAAAAAAAAAAAAAAAAAAGAATCTGAAGGAGCTGGGTGTTGGTGGCTCACACCTATAATTCTAGCTACTCAGAAGGCTGTGATTTGAGAATTGCAGTTCAAAGCCAGCCAGGACAGAAAAGTCTGTGAGACTCTTATCTTCAATAAACTACTCAGTAAAAGCCAGAGTGGTACTGTGGCTCAAGTGGTGGAGCACTAGCCTTGAGCACAAAGAGGCTCAGAGACAGTGCCCAGGCCCTGAGTTCAAGCCCCAGGACCAGAAAAAAAAAAAAAAAAAAAAAGCCAAGGTTTCAAATCCAAGGAATCAAAGGGATGTAGTATGGTTTCAACTGACACGGTAGCTAGAAACAGGTGTTGTTTCCAAGGTAACAACGACCTGTGTTGATTTTAGAATTAAATCAAAGTACTATTTTCCTGGGATGTTTTCTGTCTTTTTCTCCTTCTGCTTAGGTCTTTCCTAAGAAAAATTTAGGGGAAGTGAAAATTAAGTTCAATCATGTGATTGTAGAAAAAGGAAATTATAGTAATTCAAAGAAGTTTCAAAATCTAACAACTATTTTCTTTGCTTTCAAGGTTTTTCTGAATTCTTGCCTAAAGACTACAAATTTGGAAGCTATTACTTAGGTAAGGTATTATCTTCACTCTTTTTTTGGGGGGGAGTCTGTCATGGGGCCTCAACTCTGGGCCTGGGCGCTGTCCCTCAGCTCTTCAACTCAAGGCTAGCACTCTACCACTTGAGCCACAGTGCCACTTCAGGCTTTTTTCTTTTTTGCTTATGTGGTGCTGAGGAATCGAACTCAGGGTCTCATGCATGCAAGGCAAACGCCACCTTCCCAGCCCATATGTTCACTTTTTGAAAAGTGCTTTTCTGTTGTTCATGAGTGCTTAACTGGCCAGACCACTCCTAGGATGAACAACTAGCTTCCTATCACTAGGCCCTTCCCCATCAATAACCACTCCACTTATATAAATATTCAACTAATTTATGTGAAGGTTGGTTTTTACCTTAGACTATCATAATTATATGCAAACAAAAAATGCACTTGGATTTCAATTTCTAAGATGACTGGCTCTGGAGTAGTTACATGATCATTTTAAATCTCCCTTTGAAATATAAGAGCCAAAGCTAATCAAAAGAACAAAAAGAACGCAACCTTCAGTTGGGCCAATTTAGTTATTTTTGTTTTGTTGCCAAGGAGATTAGAGATCATTTTAATTCGTTGCCTACCACAGAGAGCTTCAGAGTTAGAAATAATATAAAATGGTATCAAATACCTACTTGTATCATTAAAAGGGACTTTTTCATTGATGATTGATAAGGATTCTTCTAATCTACTTGACAGATCTTTATGAAGATGCTTTAACTGTAATTGACTGAAAGAGAAAAAGATACAAACCCACATTACAAACAATCAGGGAACCGTCATTGGTTACCTCCATAACTCTGCCATATATTGGAGACACAATGCTGACTGCTGTTAAAAGAGGAAGAAAAGCTGGGCGCCAGTGGCTCGTACCTATAATCCTAACTTCTCAGGAGGCTGAGATCTGAGGATCACAGTTCAAGGCCAACACAGGCAGAAAAGGCTATAAAACTCTCTCCAATTAACTACCAAAAAGTGGAAAGTGGAACTGTGGCTCTAGTGGTAAAATGCCAGCCTTGAACAAAAAGGCTCAGGGACCAAACCCAAGCCCTGAGTTTGAGCCCCAGATCAGCTCACCAAAATAAAGATGAAGAGAAATATCACACCTCCATTCCTAAGTACCTAAGGCTTCTGAAGGAAGGAATTTATCACAGTCTCAATATGTTACACAAACCTAAGTTTCCTTCCTCAAGCAGAACCACTTAACAAAAGCACAAATTTTATTTTTACACAATAAATGCTTATTCAAGTATCACTGTAAAAGGATTTTGTTTTACTTTAAGTATTATATCAGAGGTTTTTTGTCAGATTAAAAGCTAATAGTTTCTGTTTTGGTTCAATTATCAGCACAAAGTACACATCTACTTTATTGCATTTATTTCCACCAATGCAATGAACTGAAGTAAATTCGCTTGACCAAGTCTACTAAATCCAAAGTATTATGAAGACCTTAAAATATGTCATGTACCACAAATGTATGACCTTAATGTGACTTTCTAAGTAATATATTAAAATTTAGACATCTCTAACCTATAAAATCTCTATTTTATTCAAAATATACCAGAAAAGGGTTGGCACAAAGATTACTGTTCGCATTCCATACCTCTACTTAGGGGAGTCTGACAGAGCACCCAGTCTTCAGTATGAGAGGCCCACAACATGCCTGCCATGCCCCAAACACCTGCTAGCTGTGACTACAGCACAAGCCACTCAAGAATTCTAAGGCCCAGTCAAGAGCCAGATGGCTCATGACTGTAATATTAGCTACTCGAGCCTGTGATCTAAGGATCACAGTTCGAAGCCAGTCTCAGCAGACAAATGCAAGAGTCTTATCTGCAACCAGCCAACAAAAAGTTGGAAATATAGGTGTGGTTCAAGTGGTAGAGTACCAGCTGTGAGCAAAACAAAAAAAGTTGAGTGAGAGCACCCTCAGTTCAAGCCCCCATTCAGGATATATATATATACACATATATGTGAATATATGTATATAAACACACATATATGTGAATATACATATATAAATACACATATTTATGTGTGTACATGTATACATACAAATGTATATATGTGCGTTGTACATTTGTGTATGTGTGTATGTTTATATATATACATCCATGCACATACATACATACACATACATGCACATATACATATATGCATATACATTTGCTTATGTATATGCATGCTGAAGCCCCAAAGAGTGCAGGAGGACCCTGCAGATTCCCTACTCCCATCTTATCTCGAATGTGAAGCAGAGGAGCAGCTAAAAGCCAAAACTCAGGTTCTCACTTCAGGGCCCTAGATTTGTTTCCACATACCATTCCTCTGTTCGAAGTCGACATTCCTTGGCCTCCTTTTCTAGAGTCTGAGATTTTACCTAAAGTTTACCAGGAAAAGAAAAGCAGACAGTTTAGGCTACAGCTGAAGCACACTTGAGAAATAATCAGGCCACAAGTTTACCTGAAACAACTAACTGTGCTTTACAGAGCAACATGGACAACTTTCAAAGGCCTAGATTAATTTTTACCATGCTCTCACAAACAGTGGGGCTTACTTCTAGCTTAGCCTTGTCATTCTGAAGTTTCTCAATGGTTTCCATGTACTTCCTTGTCAGGCCATCAACCACAGCTTGGTGCTGGGCTGCTTCTGTCTCCAGAGCGGACAGGCGACTCCTCAGCTCTGCTTCCACATGCTTGTGCTGCTCATCAGCTTCAAAAAACTGAAAAGGAAAGACCATTTTTTTTCTCATGAAGTACCAATACATATAAATGAGAAAGCCAATAGCAGTGATTATTCACTGAGTAACAGCTATATGGTTATATGTCCTCTATGCAAAAGCCACAGGTATTATCTCAGTGTATATCAGAAGATATATTTTGGCTATCCCTCATTTACACATGCAGAAACAGCTTGAAAGGTTGTAATTTATGTCTCACAGTAAATGTGAAACATAGACAGCCTATTCCAAAGCATGCACCTCTTTTAATCACGAGTTCCTACTTCCTAAAATAGGGAAAGTTCCATCTCTTAATAAGATTCTGAAACTAAGATTAACAGGCTGGACGTGATAGCTCATGCTTATAATCCCAATTTCTCCATTGGCACAGATCAGCAAGAACATGATCAAGACCAGTCTAGGCAAAAATGGACAGGGAAAAAGAGAGGAAGGGAAGGGAGAGGGAAAGGAGAAAAGAAGAATAAAGGACAGGGAAAGAAAATGACATTGACAGTTGTACTTAAAAGACTGTGGGATTCATGAAAAACCTATACAGAGACAAAACATACTATTTGTATTATTTTTTTCTACTTCTCAGATTGCACATGGAAAATAGATTTTTGTCACCTGTATATGCAACCGTTCATTCTCTTCTATCTTCTTTTGTAGATCTTCATCAAAGACACTCTTCTGCTCTTGAGTCAACTGAGAAGAAGATTCTCCACTTTTCTGATGGAAAGAATAAGTTATGTCCACATAACTTTCATCCTTTAGAGAAACATCCTAAGGTACACAGATTCTCTATCACCTTAGTAGCTTGTCTCTTCTATGTGTTCACCATTCCCAAACAATCCTGCAAAAGGTACACAGTCCATCATTTAACTTTTCCTATGGGACACAAATGTAACTGCAAATAGTGTAAAGGGCAGGAAAGCTTAAAAGAGAGAGAGAAGAACATAGAAGGTCATTATTCTTTTCAGAGCAATTTATAGGTAGTACTATTGGGAAACAGAACAAACCCAGAAGGCTAACACCATAAATACACTAATAAACACCATTTAAATATGATCTTTAGGCTTGGAAAAGAGAGTTTTGACAATTCTGCAAGTCTGACTTGTTAAACTCCTTTAAGAAATATAGTAAGTTAGGTAGTAACATTCATAAAGTTACGTTTATTCAGAAGTTCACATCAATTTATGAATTTTTAACAAACATAAGCTTGTAAATGAGACTATTGCTAAAAACACTAGGAAAAAACTCAAAGATAGGGCTGGGAGTGTGGCTTAGTGGCAGAGTGCTTGCCTGATATACATGAAGCCCTGGGTTTGATTCCTCAGTACCATATAAACAGAAAAGACAGATAGTGGCACTGTGGCTCATGTGGTAGAATGCAAGCCTTGAGTAAAAGAAGTGCACAGACCATGCCCAGGCTCTGAGTTCAAGCCCAGGCCTGCAAAAACAAAAAAAGAAAAACAAACTTAAAAATAATGAAAATCCTCTCCCTTTGTTTTTTACTAGTACTAACATCATCTACTGAGAACAATAGCACTATTTAAAATCTAATAATGAAGCCAGGGCGCTGGCAGCTCTCAGGAGGCTGGGAGCTGAGGATCACAGTTCAAAATCTGGTCAGGAAAGTCCATGAAACTCTTATCTCCAATAAGCCACCAGAAAACTGCAAGTGGCACTGTGTCTCAAGTGGTAGAGCGCTAGCCTTGAGCTGAAGAGCTGAAGGACAGCGCCCAGGCCCAGACCCCGCCCCCCCCCAAAAAAAGTGAGCAACTGTTTTCATGTAATACACAAACTTCAAATATTCAAGGGAGAGTCTAACAATGATACTGTGTTTAGACATTAGTCACCATCTTCTGCCTTCTTTGTATCATCACTCATCACTTAAAATGAAGTCACCTACCAATCCAATATCAATCTGAAATTAAAAAGCCCTTTGCAAAATGGAGAAGCCATATAAAAACCAAAAATATTAAATATCCATCAGGTCTGGAACACGACATATGCTACTGAATGACAAACTCAGGGCCCTTAGAGTTTCCAAATTTGGAAGCTTTAATTAAAACTAATGCACAAGTGCTACACACACCTCCTTGTTACACAGTCAGAAGGGACAGAAACAGTCTGGTGAGTGGAGTCGAGATGGCCATTTCTTCCCCAGAGGTTTTTCAGAATTCTTGGGGCATATGTGTGTATTTTGATAGATTCCCAGGTAGCTCTAATACGTGCCTATTATACCCTCTCTGTTCCCCTTTCCTTGAACATCAGCACCCTACAGAATTCTCTGTGCAGGGAAATGGGTATGGAAAAGGTGTTAACATACTGTGTGGTAAACATATCCTAGGCACTTTTACTTGACCCATTTAATCCTCACAGGCCTAAAAGCCTTGTCTCAACTTTGCTGAGGGAGAAACTGATATAGTCCAGCTGCTAAATGAACTAAGTATATGTTTGCTGCTAATAAATTCTTTAAAACTAACTTCTGAATAAAAATGCCCCGAATGTTTACTTACTACACCTTTATAGGAGATGCCTGTGTTCTGGACCCTACGTCCAGATATAATAATAGAACATCAGAGAATCTGGAGGAGAATCTTCTGTTTAAACCAGTGCCTTCATTGCATGCCTGGGTCATACCAGCTTGCCATTATGGAACCTACCTTGTTCTTCTTGCCCCGAGGTTCACTCAGCGCTAGCTCATCTTGCAGTAGTTCTACCCTCTTGGCAAGCTGCAGATTTCGAAATGTCAAACTGTCCATTTCCTGTTGCAATTTCCTCAGTGACTGATCTCTCATTTTTAGTTGTTCCTGCATCCAAGTGAGGGTTTTGAGGTTCAGAATAAATGAAAAAAGTGATGCTTATTTCACCAAAATACAATCAACATCTCTTGCTTCAGGGCATTCAAGTTGTGGTTTTATCTTTTCAGTTCTTACTTTTTTTTTTAGCTTTGTTTTAATGACAAAAATCATCTGTGGGCCAAACCAAGTAAATTTAAAACTAAACAGAAAACAGCAGACACAAAACCTGGGGCTACAAATTTATAAATCTAAATTTTTTTTTTTTTGGTCGGTCGTGGGGCTTGAACTCTGGGCCTGGGCGCTGTCCCTCAGCTCTTCAGCTCAAGGCGAGCGCTCTACCACTTGAGCTACAGCGCCACTTCTGGTTTTCTGGTGGTTTATTGGAGATAGGAGTCTCACGGTCTCTCCTGCCCGGGGCTGGCTTTGAACCGCGATCCTCAGATCTCAGCCTCCTGAGTAGCTAGGATTACAGGCGTGAGCCACCAGTGCCCGGCTTATAAATCTAAATTTTTTAAGAGAGTCCCAGACTTACTAATGATACTCTTCAGTAAGCAAAACTGACAACGAGTAAGTTCGTATTTCCCTTTTTTTCTATAAATCTTCCTAGAACTTAAGTCCGTTGAGGAGCTCCTAGCTCCCATTCTGTGTGCCAGAGGGGCCTTTTCCTTGTCCTTTCATTTTTCCTTGTTTTATTCGATTTATTAGCAAATCTTTGTTAGACCCTTTAAAAAAAAATAGACACAAAAAAACTCTCCCCACTGCCTGGGCCTGGAGGGTAACCAAGGGCCTCCTGCATATTAGGTTAGCTATATTCCCAGCTCAAAATGAAGTCTTTTCAACACTGATCTTTAACTATTTTGATATGCCAAAGATAAAAACCAGTATCATTCTAACACAAAAGATAGTTTCAGATGCTGTTCTACATCAACTCACTTTAAAGCTAGATGAAAATAAAAACAGAATCTAGAATCCAAACACTTCCTGCTATTTTGTAATGTTAATACCATAACAGGGTAAGAAATGGAGACATTAAAAGGCATACTGTTTCACACAATTTTTAAAAAGATAAATACTTAGAAAATAGTATCCTAAGTATATTTTTCTGTGAGATTCTGATAACTTTGTGTTCACTGACAATCAGCTATACATGGCCATATGCAACTATATGTTTCAGAAACACTTTTATTTCTTTCACTGAAAAAAAAATTATAAAAAGCTAAGGTTGGGATGTAGTTCAGTGGTAAAGAGCTTGCCTAGCAAGTATGAGGCCCTGGGTTCAATCCTCAGTACTGAAAAAGACAAAAAAATAAAGAAAGAAAAAAAAAGCACTTAAAAAAAACCTAAGAGATCAAATTTTAATAAACCAATGACTTAGCCATGATAAAAACAACCTAAATCTATAGCTAGTGTCCATACACTGAGATTATCTGAATGTTGAAAGCAGGACTAAAGGACAGAAAGACGTACTCCTATTAAGCAGGCATTTTTTTTCTTCTCTATTGTTTGTTTAAATGTAAACTTGGTCCAATTCAGGTTTAAACTATCATACACCTCAAATTAAAGAAAGTCAAATTAATGAATAATAGTTACTGCCAGGAACTTCTACAGTAACATAATATTCTCACCAAAAGAATTGGCAAACTGTCAGTTGGACAATAATTATAATGATTATTGTAAAGAATTAATAAAATAGAAAGTAATTTCTTTTCATTGTCATAAGTTACCACCAGGCAACCATAAGTTGCCTGAAGCTCCAACTCCACCAACCAATCATTCATTTCAGAACTTTATCCTAATTTCTCTTACAACTCAGCAAGTGGTTGATAATGTTATCAACCACTGTAGAACTGCTGTGAACACTTAAAGATAATGGATCTAGTAGACTTAGCACAAAGCTTGCCACACAAATGTTTTGGGGTCAGAGCTACCTAAGTGCAGCTACCAGGATACAACCAGTGGTTGAAGAGCTTCTCCAGAAAGACACCAGAGAAAAAAGTCCTACTCCCATCTGTCTAACAAGAAAGAGAAATCACAAGCAAATGGCCAGCGGGAGACAGTATATTTAACTGAAATTTAGTCAAGAAGTCTATAACCTGGATTTAATTTATCCACTTAAAAGCATAACTCAGCAGATAGGTGCTGATGGCTCACGCCTGTAATCCTAGCTACTCGGGAGGCTGAGATCTGAGAATTGCCATTGGAGCCAACTTGGGCAAGAACAGTCCTAGGGACTTTTATCTCCAATTAACCACAAAAAGTGGGAAGTGGAGCTACAGCTTAAGTGATAGAGTACTAACTTTAAGCAAAAGAGCTCAGGGACAGCATCCAGGCCCCAAGTTCAAGCCCCAGTACACACACACACACACACACACACACACACACACACAAAGGTATCACTAAGCCAAGTTTATTACATGCCTCAGTGCTCTGATTAAAAGAGCTATTACTACTAAATAGCACAACTAAAGGCAAGATTAATGGACTAGGTGACTTCCATATTCCATTTATTAGGACCCATCTGCTGAGAGCTGGGGACACAGATATGAATGTGATCCGGCCTTCTCAACTGCTGTCTGGGGATGACCAGATACGAAGCTCCATTCATCCAGATGCACTGGGCTAAATAAAGGCCTTGAGGTACAGAAGAAATGCATTAGATAAAGTCAAATCATACTTTTTAATAGCTTTTAGTGAAGGAAATCAAATGTTCATACCTAAGGTAATAAAATAAAATGTTCATACCTAAGGTAATAAAATATAACAGTAATTCCATCCCCTATTCCTAGTGAATCAGTATCAGAAGTAGGACTTTAACCCTGAAACCCAGCTGAATTCTCTGTTTTCAGCATGTTAAAACATAACAACCTTTCACAACACAAAGACCAGACTGCATACCTTTAAAGCAGCAGAATTTGCCTGTTCATCCACAACACCTTTTTTTAGGACTTGATTCTGAGCCCGAAGCTGAAAACAGGGAGAACAAAAAAATTTTTAATATAAAACTTTCCGTTGTAACCAGAATATCACTTACAAATTACTTTAGAGGAGTCATTATATTTCGGTAACTAAACATTTTCTCATATACAGACATGCATACAATATAAACACATAGTATAAACAAAGTAATTGAAATGGTTATTATAGTTCCCCATTTTATGAACAAAGACTCACAGGCTGAGTTCCCCAACAATATGAAATTAATCAATGGCAAAACTGGGACTAACTAGACATGGTAGCACACATCTATGATTCCAGTACTCAGAAGCCAAAGCAGTGAGACTGTGAGTTCAAGGCTAGCCTGGGCTACATAGAAAATCCAATGCTAGTTTGGGGCTACAAAGGGAGGCTCTGTTTCAAAAACAAACTTATAAAAAAAATAAATAAAAACCACTGGGTCTAAAATTCTGTCTCCAACTTCTATACACCATTCTTCATATGAAACTAAATCATATCCCTAAATAAAAAACAATACAATAAATAACAGAATACTGAATAGGCCATTTTCCTTTAAATTCTGGCATGCTATCCATTTGTAAAATTCATACAGTTAGACAACCATTGATAAGAATTGTACAGAAAACGTACATCAAAATGTAGGTCACCAACAAACCCAGTGGGACACTGTAGCTAATATTAGTCATGAAAATGTCATCACAGACAGTGGCCTTAGGAATGGTAGGCAATTATTATCAGCCAGCAGCAGCAGCAATGTAGGAAGCAATTAAGAAGCAGGTTCAATTTGCAAAATGATCTTAGTATCCACTTACATTTGAAAGATCATTATACACTGGACATTACATCATCCCAAGTACTTTTCATGTGTTACCTTGTCTAATCCTCACTGTCCTACGAAGTAAAGTTCTAATTATCTCTATTCTAGAGATGAGGCACTAAAAAGGGAGGTGGAAATGCTGAATTTCTATCTCGGCAGTTTTGATTCCATCTTCACAATGCCAGCTAGACAACATTGACTACTATGTCACAAGCTATGTTAGAGAAAAGCATTGGGCTGGTGAGGGGGGAAAAGCCCTAGGAGAAGGAAAACGAGCTTCTTTCCATAGTTCAGTATTAAAAGTTGACCTATATAATGTTATTTTAAATAAAGTACACAAAAATTATACTGTTGGATGTTTTTTACTCATATTTACATCTGTATAACCACCACTGGCAGTTTTATAAGATAAAATCCACTAGCTATACACACATTAAAGTTCAACACAGCTAATAATCTGAGGGTTCAGCAGAGACCAGAAATGACCAGATTTTTCTTCTCTGGGAAACTGAAAGAATGGTTTTAATAGATGTGGGTCGCACATCACTGTAATCCCAGCATTTAAGAAACTGATGCAGGAGGATTTCAAGTGAGAGGCCAGCTCGGGCTACACAGCTACATAGTCCAGAGCCTGGGCTACACAGCGGGACCTTGTCTAAAGGGGAAAAAAAAAACTCTTTGTAATTCCGTATAGCTCAGATTAGGCTCCCGAGAACAGAGAACTGACTCTAGTCCAAGCCAAAAGGACAGGAACATTTGAGTGGTAAACCTTAAACTGAAACATCAAACAAAATTTAAGATTATAAGAAGATGAGTATCTTCTACTTTGGGAAAGTCAAAAATTACAGATCACTACTACAACAGAAACCAGATCCAAATCTTTGCTTTGCTGTACACAATACAAACTTGAGAAATTCACTGGCCCTTTTATGCTTCAGCCACTTAGTTAATAGTATTATTGTATGGACCTGACCCTATCTTCCTTACTGTGAGCCAAACAGGAGACCTATGTCAAAGCGTTTTCTGAACTAGACAACGTTCCACAAATGGAAACAGCTCTTCTAGTTAGACTGGACTCACAGCAACAACAGGCATATTTATTACAGTTTGTCTGGTTTGAAGCACTGTTCTAAATGATATGGGAGTCAAAGATGTGGTGCTTGTTTTAAAAGAGCTTATCATTTACAGCGGAAAATAAAACAGTAAAACATGAGCAATGTAGGCATTTCCTACTCTTAAAAAAGGAGCATAGACACAAATCCTCTAGAAATGGTGTTGGCAAAGTCTAAGGGCCAGTTGGCCTGTAATCCATTTTGAAGTTGTGCTGGATCACAGCCCTACTCCAACATCTCCGCTACTGTATAACAGAAGAGAGTGGCCAAGACAGAAACCACACATCCTCAAGCCTGAAGTGCTTACTGTTTGGCTCTTTACAGAAAAAGATTGCTGACCTCTGCTCTGGAGTTCAAAATGGGAAAGTACTAGCTGGGCGCCAGTGGCTCACACCTATAATCCTAGCTACTTAGGAGGCTGAGATCTGAGGATCTCGGTTCAAAGCCAGCCTGGGCAGGAAAGTTCATGAGACTCTTATCTCCAATAAACTACTGTGGCTCAAGCAGTAGAGCACTCACCTTGAGCTGTAGAGCGCAGGGACTGCGTCCAAGCCCTGAGTTCAAGCCCCACGACCAACCAAAAAAAAGAGAGAAAGTACTAGTGCAGTATCCATCATGTACTAGTCTACTTTTTAAGCAATATCAGTAAACTCACGGATAATGGCAGACTTAGTATTTTCACGTCCACAAAGCCAAAGAGAGCAATGTCATCTCACACCCCTGTCCTACCTGATCCAGTATGTTTTGTGTGCCCAGCAACTGCTTTAAGCTCAAAATTTACTAAACTATTTCCTGTAAGAACAGACCACAGTAATTAAAAAAAAACACCTCACTTTACATTTTAAGATATAATTAAGGCTACATAAAGCAAAATGAATAGACCACTTTTTTACAAAGCAAAAAGGGTAAGTGGAAGTGTGACTCAATTGGTAGAGCATTAGCCTTGGAAGCCAGGCAAGTGTGCAAGGCTGGAGTTCAAACCTCAGTACTAGCAGGGAGGAAGGGAGGGAGGGAGGGAAGTAGGGAGGGAGGGAGGGAGAGAGAGAAAGAGAGGGAGAGGGAGAGAAAGAGAGAGAGAGGGGAAAGGTAGAAAGGAAGGAAGAAAAGAAAGAAAGAAAGGAGGGAGGGAGGGAGGAAGGGATAGAAAAAAAGGAATTTCAAAGAATTGTTTATATCTCATTATAACAAATAATAACTTTGTAACTGATTATAAAAAATTGTACTTCTTGCTAAACAAGTGAAATATGGCTTCAATCAAACTATTTAACAGAAAACACCATTTTGTAGAAATGCGTATCTAAATGCTTTTCCATTCTTTAGGTTAAGAAAGGACTGTGCCCCCTGAACTGCCTCTGTGGCATCTGCTGCCTCCCTGCAGCCGGGCAGAACCAGTCACTCCTGCTGCACGGCTGACCCAGAGGCCTGCCAAACGCTCCAATGAGCTCAGTGTGGTCCTTTAAGACCCACCTTCCTCCCTGCACTTAACACAGTGTGCAAAGGCTTGGGGATTTTCTTTTACATCCAGTTAAAGACCTCCAGGTAGGCACTAGTGTCTCCACAAATCTGGAGGCTCTCAGGCATACTGAGGTGAGAATATAGTCTGAAGTCTCTATTAAACAGCAACACCCTCCTGAAGACAACACAGCCTCTTCCCTGCAGCCTCACACTAAGCTCCATTGGGTGGAGGAATAGCACCTCTGCATTCCAACTCAGATATTCTCTTAATTGTTTTAAACCTCATTTTTGCCGTTGTCTTACAATCTTCAGACTAACTTTACCTTTGACTTTGAAATAATGGCCCGACTTGTTCTTCCTCCACGACTTTCCCTAACCGTGCCCTATTGCCTACCTGAGCTTGCTCCTCAGTTCCTCTGGCACCTACTGGTAGCAAGATACCTCATTAAACTGCTCCATCTTAACTCAGAAGCCATAAATTTCACATTTACTGATTTGTTTATGATTTTTATCTTCATCTCCTATCTGCCACCTTAAACTATTCATGTTGTAGAAAATATTTTCCTTGTATTTCATGCTTATGATGAGAAATCAATGTTGTGGATACAGAAAGAGTTCAATAAGGTTTTATCTACTTAATCCAGTTAAGTACTGTATATAAGAGGAGTTTAAACATAATGGAAGAGACTGTCATCATTTTCCAGTTTTTTTCTAAGACTCTTCTCCAAATGATTCAAACCTCATGGTCCAACTGGACGCCAAGAATTCTCAAAAGCCCTGAGTCGAACTCTTCAGTAACCCAAGCCCTACCTGCCCTGTGTGACTGTCATTCTGGAATTAAATAGCCTCAGCCAGGTCACTCATACAGCCACTTCTCTAGACAGTTCCACAGGCCACTTTGACAAACTCTGACAGGATAATTGGCCTAAGAACTGGGGATTTATGACCTTTAATCACAAACTGTTAAAAGATTTGGTGGAAAATGAGAAATGATGCAATTTCTCAGCTAACCTTCAACTACGTTCTGTAGCAGAACCATTCTTGCATGGCTGTATTCACACAAAACATTTTTTTTCTTTTTTCTTTTCTTTCTTAATTTTTTTTTCTAGGTCAGTCATGGGGCTCAAACTCTGGGTGTGGGCGCTGTCCCTCAGCTCTTCAGCACAAGGCTAGCACTCTACCACTTGAGCCACAGCACCACTTCGAGTTTTCTGGTGGTTTATTGGGGATAAAAGTCTCAGAGTCTTTCCTGCCCAGGCAGGCTTGATCCATGATCCTCAGATCTCAGCCTCCCGAGTAGCTAGGATTACTGGCATGAGCCACCGGCGCCAGGCTCATGCAGAACATTTAGACACTTATACATGTTTTACAACACTGTCTGGGAAAAAAAAATCTTCAAGCATACAGCTTTTCTTCACTACAAAGAAATGTGTGTAATAGGCAACTCTAAGTCTCACCAAACCCAATTCAAAGCTTCAGAATACTGAAGCTATCTGCAGACCTAAACTATTGCAGTATGCCCTGGCTGATTCTAAAACTCCTTCAGTTCCATTATTTGAAATATTCAAAGGTGCTAAGAGTATCACCTGGGCACTCTGCCCACCCCAAATAAAGGATTAGGGATC